TGAGAAAATGAGGGATTGGTTGAGAATTCTTGTCATTGTCCAACACTGATGTCACAAATGTCACAGGATTTTAGTTTTCTTTTCCTCCCTTCTCCTCTGTTTCTTCTTCTTCTTCTTTTGTTCCTCTAAACACAAATAATGTCACAGGATTTTAGACTAAACTGTACAAGATTAGCAAAATGTCTACATTTCATTTGCATTCAATTCATAACATGGATATGTTGTTTAACTAGGAGGAAACATGGGGACTATCTATAAGAAGTTGATAACTAAAACTTATCCCTATAATCCAATTGAAAATGATGGGATTAGGAGGGATAAATTTTAGTCATCAACTTCTTATGAATAGTCCTCCTTCATCCTCCAAGTTAGACAACAATATCCATATTATGCCTTGATTGCACATGAAATATAGCCACTTTGCTCGTCTAGTCTAGTCTAGTCTAATCTTCTCTAACAAACGAGATAATTTCTTGTCAGTTTGGTTGATATCTTGCATCACTTTGAGGGTAACAAATCCAAAACTGTGTAGATTAATATCCACGTCGAGACAGAAGTTTACAATTCCTAGCATGAAGCCAACCAATTAATCTACAAGAACAAATACAATCAATTTTGGCTAATCTGGTGGTCATCTTCATCTAACTGAGTTGATTGATACAAATTGTTTCAAGACATAATTCCTAACATTGGTTGGATTTTATGTACAGGCAGATGTCCCAAGAACAGCTCATTGCAAATCCAGTGAGTTTCACTCTTCTTCATCTTCAACATCAGAGCTCCCATATACAACAGAAAAATAAAATCCGAGGGTCCTGGATGTGAGGCCTGGAAACCTGTGAGAGCCTCCTGGTCGCATATCAATCTTAACCAATGGCCATTGCATTGCTTGCGCAGCTTCACACTCCTCCCATCCATCCCCAATTACGCAGAAGCGGACATTTGGGTGGTTAAAACGCACCTTGATCTGCTGAAAACATTGCAGTTTTCCCACTTCCCAGGAACTATAGACTGAAGAAATTATAAAGATTTGTCAGTACCCATATAAGTTGTTAAAAGCCCCACTAATGCATAAAACAATGTCTATATGTCGATCACCAGAATCCATGAAACAAATAGAATAAAATAAAACTATGTGACGCATCAGGACTCCACTTCTTGCATATGCACTACTTCAAATCAAGTTTTCCAATAATTTTAAACTGCATTAGGGGACATTAATTCTGATTCTTAACACTAGCTACAGTGTCGTTAATGACAAAATAATCTAGAAAGAAAAATAACAAGCTTCGCAGGCATTAAGTGATAAGGATTACTAACCATTTTCATCTGTTATCATGTTGTTGAGTCGAAAGAGCAAGCATTTTACAAGACTGGGGATCAATGATCCAGATGTCACTAAAAGATTAATGTGCTGATACTTTGAAGCAGAAGATTCATTGATCCCATCAGCAGCCACAAGAGATGTCTTTTTGTGCCCAGCAGAACACTCTTCCAAGAAGATGCGTGCTACATTAATACAGGAGGAAGACAATTCTTGAGCAACTATAGAAGAATGTTTAATAATGGAAGAGAACAAAGTCGAGGCATAATGCATTTATGACACTACACAGAGCAAACTGCTCCTTAGGATTACCAGAAAGTGTTGACGGGTGCATCCCAAACATCATTAAGGTGAAGAGAAGCAAGATAACACAATTTTATATAAGATGGCAGAGTATCTATTATAGGAGGTGATGTCTCCGAAAGACGGAAGATGGAGGGGTGTGCCAATTATTTTCTGGCATTACAGTTTAAAAGATGATGATGGTAGACAACTCCTAAAGGTAGAAACATTTTTTTTCTGACACTGTTCAAAACAGGCACTAGCTCCATCTTCCGTATCCTCAACCAATCACCAATCATCAAAGCTAAATAGCAACTATAAAGTTTAGCAATCAATTACTGTCTAATAGGCATAGGATGGGTTATTAAAAGTGCTATTTCCCTACCAAACAGGTGACATTATCATCTTGACTTTCCTAGACCCTCCAAGTATTGACATTCTTCTTTGGTTCAGATGCTTGCCACCATACCACATTAACTGCTTGATAGTTGACAGGGATTTTGAATCTGTTCCCATAGAAACTAATTTGTCCAGCATTGTTCATTCAATCACAGCCAACACCATTACATTCCTTGGGGGCATTCTTTTCACTAGTGTAAAATACTCTTGTTTGACTGCTCAATTCTGTACGAATTAGCAAACCATTCATGCTAACTTCCTTATTTTCTGGTAGCTCCATTCCCACCATGGTTGTATAAGTTTGTCTAGTTTAATGGATACATCTTCTCGATAATCCGTTTCCTCTGCTTTCCTAATTTTTTTTTCCCATCGAAAAAGAGAAAGCATTGTTTTGGGTTCACATACCACAAAATTATTAATCTGAAAACCTTATTTCACAGTAACCAAAAAAAATAAAACAGTCCTCAGTAAAAGAAATTCATTTTGCATGTTGCACACTGTCTTGAAGTGGAATAACCACAAAGAGTTCAAGTTATAGGACAATGGGATCAATGAGTTGTAAACTATTAGTATGACTTGGTAATAGACCTTTCAATGATTGTGTTCCAACTTTTCATTCATAGAAAGTATTTCGAAATATTTTCCATGCTGATTCAGGATACCCTCAGTGAAACAAAGTTGGAAAACTTACACCAACCCACCAAACATTAATCTCAGCTTGCTTATCTACTAATATAACAATGAATCAGTTTTTATACAATCAGATTGCTTCCCCTTAATTGTTAATAGTATTTATTCATTTTTGCAATTTAGAATACTGGAAAAAAGGCCAGGACTTGTGGAATACATCACCAGGAAGAGGGAAGTATTCAAAGCAGTAAACCAGAAGCTTATAGGCCAATGAACAACAATCACGAAAAAAAGCAAAGATACCAAAATCTAGAAGCTGGGACATTATAAAACCAAATACCTGAGGAGAGCCATCTATCTGTATATTTATCAGTCATATCATACAACTCATCCAAGTCTTTTATCATCTCTTGATTTAGGAAACTGTGCAAACCCTGAAATAACAGAAAATGTTTGAGTTTTTCTACAGATAGCTCTAACATTAAAACATCCAAAATAGTTTACAGAAGCCTATGCAGCTGACTTAATCAGAAAACAAAAGCACACTAGTTCTTTATACAAATGAATAATAAGAACAGAGGTCAAATGAGTATGGTGTAAGCTCAATTTAACTTTCTTTAACACATCAAATTTGTTAATAAGAATGGAATTGAGATTGGTATTAATAGGTGCAAGGTAGCTAGTCCACCAGGAGCTAGCCCTGAAGAGCCAAATTCTGTTAGACAGCCATCAAGCTAAGTCACATGGCAAGAATAATTCTTTCCTCAAGCATAATATGTTCAGGATTCCAAAATGACATGAGCTCTCTGTGGATTGTCTCCTTCAAGCATAAATTTCCCAGGTGACTTATGATTAAAAAAAAAAAAAAAAAGTAAGGATTATGCTAGTTATGTGATTTATTTGTCCCTTGAATCTTTGAAAGAAAATGATATTGTTACCAGAGTAAGACCATATATTGTGTTCTATACATCTATTTGATGAAGAATCATCCCTAAGCACTACCTTGATAACATTGCATGCATGACGGTAAAGTACACATATATTTCTTCCTATCTACATCAAATTTTAAGCAAGAGGAAAACATTGCATGACTATTTTTTGAGTTTTGTAACATCTTTAGGTCAGTTCCTTCCAATTTTAAATGCATTTATAACCAATTATATTTCTATAACATATAAGAAAATGATAAATGTTGCATATTGATCATGTACATCAAAGAAACCAGTGCATCACTATCACTGCTAGAACAGTGCACTCTCAATAACGCAACCCTGAAACCAAAAGGCCTGTCTCAATGGTGTAGAAGAATTTAAGAAAACTTTGCATGCATACACCAATTTACAAGTAAAACTTAAAACATGAAAAAATTAAAAGAACAAAAACTTCTTCTACAAATAGGATGTGTTTGCACACCTGTTTGTATCTATGGGCTATGAATCTGTGCCTATATGCCAATTTTCTATTGTTGGAATCATCATATGGAGGACCAAACCCATCTTGGTTGAAATCATAATCAGAAAGATTCCGCCCATCATCATACTGGCTCAAGGCATCAAGAGAGGATTTATTGTAGTTCTCAATCTGCATCACCAATCCCAAAATTTTCAAATTTTCAAATGCCATGTAACTCAGCAAAGAGTGTACGTACACACATACATACGACTATCTGTATTTGTAATTGAAGGTCTAAACTTACTTGTTCATAAAAGAAATGATCGTCACACAAAGCAAGAATGTGCTTCTCCCACATCTTTCCGATTTCAACACCCTCTTGGATATTCTTCAAACCATTGAAAGCCTCTGCATACGTTCCATTCAATAAAGACTTGAGCAGTATAAGAGTTTCATCCATGTCCCATATATAGACATTTATTTTCTGATCCATCCTGCTTTGAGAAAACCCATTTGTCACACTAGTACTTTCACCCATTATCTTCTTCAATTTTGGTGTCAATCCTAAGGAGCTAGTTCCCAGCCTGGAGACTGGAGAATTAAACAATCAGAATATACATTTTGTAACTCTGAGCCAAACTAATCAATGAACACAGTTTGCTTGATTTGCTAAAACAACACGCACAAACTTCACATAACTTTTCAAACAACTACAAAACTAGACTAAATTTTACTCAGCAGAAACATTAAGGGGCACAAAAAAGACTTGTCAATGGCTATATAGAAACATTATCGGAGAACAAAAGCTTCTGCCCAGATGGGTTGTATTAAAAGATATCTATAAAGAAAAAAGAAACAGCAACCCAGTTGTAATTGCAATAAAAAACTACAGAATCAAACACAACTTCAGATTAATGATGAAAAGCATTCAAGCTTAGATTCTTACCTTGAGGTCAGCTGGGGCAGTAAAATCGTGGCAACGCAAAACAAAAACGAAAAACAGAGAGTAAATATATAGGACTTCCTTTGGGCTCCAGAGCTCAGGCACAGCTCTCATTCATCTTTTTCTGAACTGTACAGGCAGCCCGAGCCCAGATTTCACTTTATTTAGGCTTTTGACAGCCCACACAGGAGACCCACAACAAGGTATACATTTTCAAAAGTGAGGGATTCAATCTGACCGTCCAATAATGGCTTTGCAATGGATCCAACGGCTAGTAAAGACCCCTTCATTATAACCCCTTATTACAATCTCCCCGTACAATTTCGATCCTTACTAATTTGAGCTCTTGACATATTAGCAAAAATGAATGTCCAAGTACTAAAAAAAGCCTATGTAAGAGATATGTTCGGGCAAGAATTCTATAGTGAGGGCCTCCCAACACTAGAGACGGATGTTAATATTTTCTTTGATGAATAAAACCCTTTTTATTGTTGTTGGCAAGAAAAAGAAAACAGAAAAAGGCAAAAAATTTCAATCCTCTCTCTTTCTCTTGCAAACAAAAGCAAGTTTATAATGCAAATAAATTAAAAACAAGTCCTTTTGATTGATGATGATAGATTAGGCCGGACATTGGCCCGAAGTGTTTTTTATTAGTTTTATTATATAAAAAAAAATTGGGCTTGTCACGCCTTCTAACATATAGCTATAAATTATGTTTATTCCAACAATTACATAATATATTTAAACAAATTCGTCACTCTTTTTTTTAAACATGTAAGTTCTTGACTTGTTTATAGTAAGAACACGACATAGTAGGAATCTTTGTCAATGAAAAATTGTAGGGCAGCCAGTCATACCTTGGTGGGAACGAAACCTTGTATGATGTATCTCATTTGTTTAAGACTTTTGGCTCCCATGCATGATGCATCTGGAAAAGGTCAAATGCGTCCGTTTTAAATAAAATCACCATCATCAACTTTATTAATTACCATCTTTTAAAATCAGTTTATATTAATTAACCGAGGCCATGTAAGTCGTGCAAAGAGACAAAATTTTCCCAAATAAATCCCATCCATCTTATCATGAAAGAGAAGGAAAAAAAATCCGATCAGATCTTATTGATTGTTATCTTGTTCTTTAAATAGAGAAGATTACTGTCCAAATTTGAACTTGTGGGGACATGCTAATAGAAACTCTTTTTCTTTTTTTTAATAAAGTCAGCGAATTTTGGATGGAATTCTAATTAAAGATTGAATTTTAAAGTATTTGAAAAGGAAATTGTTATTATCTCTTTTGAAAAAAGTGACTTAAATATAATTCAAGCAAATTAAAGATTGGAGAAGTCATCATAGTTGAAATTTGGTATAGCATTTATCCGCTATGCTCAATTTAGATTTTGAGTTGTGATAATCACATCATTACGTGATGTTACAAATTCACGTGTTATAATATGAGTGGATAACGTATTTGTATTTGGTAGTATACTATTAATAAATAAAACATGTACTACAACACGCATGAATAGTTTATTAAAAAAACATGGTGGAAGGATTGGTAATTCCACGTGACAGTGTTATGGTTACACTGAAAAATCTCTAGGTTTTAGTTGCGTTTCACCGCTTTGTTGTAGAAAAAGAAAAGGAAAAAAAAAAAAAAAGTCATCTTAATAATTATTTTGAATTTAAAAAAGTTTTATTTTGATCAATAATAATCCGAGAAGTTGAAGTAATGTTTTGGAAAGTTAAAAACCTTACTAAAACCAACATATCTTTGAAAAAGAAAAAGAAAATAATGAAAATTATATTACATTAAGAAAAGGAAAAAAAAAGAGGAAAAAGACAATAGGAGAAAGAGGGTACAAGAAAATGGTTCCCCTGTTTTATATAATAGGGAGGATTAGCAGCCCATAGAATCAAAAAGAAATTCAAAATTCCCAACTATCCTTTTCTTGCTTGGCAAACTCTCTCCACAGCGCCAAAGCCATGGGTGTGAAGCGCAAGCAAGAAGACCCTCCACCATCCTCTGCCTGTGTAGAAACAGTAGAAGAAATAATGAAACTCTACAAGTCCCTGCCACCAAGACCCTCCATTGAAGAGGTTGAAGCAGCCCAGTCTGTGCTCAAAACAGTCAACAGTGAGGAGGAAAAGAAGCTTGAGGAGATATCAAAGCAACAGAAGCCCGAAAATGTCCCTGAAGAGCTCTTCTCTGTGTTGCAGGAGGTGAAGAAAACCATGGTTTTGTTTCAGAGCCAGGACCAGAGGAAAGAGGCTGCTCATGTGGTTGAGATGGAGGGTTTGTTTCAGACCTTTGATGATCTTATCCAGACAGTTTCTGGGTTGGTTTCTGGTGATACTCAGGTTCAAAAACATGTTAATTTAGAGAACCCAGTTGAGAAAATTGGGAGAGAAACTGTGATCAGTGATGAAAGTTTGACGATGAAGAAGGAAGATAAGGAATCAGAGAGAGATGGATTTAAGGGTGTGGTGAGAAGTGCTTCCACTTTGTCTTCAGGTTAGCATAAAAAAAATTCAATTTAATTTGAGAATTGAAGTCTATGAAAAGCATGAATTTATATAAGAATTATGTGTTCGAGATAATATTTGATGTGATGATTATACTTTGGATTTGAAAGTACTTAGGTGGTACGATTTTTTTTCTGTTTTTTTTTTTTTTTTTTGTTTTTCTGTGAGGAATGATAACTTTTTTTTCATTTCCTAAATCTTTATCCGCTATCACCTGGAGAAGAAGAATGTTGAAATTTTATTCATGAGGGTATAAAACCTTTGAATCAATACGATGTTCATGTTTTGATGAACCTCAAATAAATAAATAAAAGGTCTTATATTAGTCTTTTCTTGTTCTGTCTTCAAAGTCTCCATCCTATGAGAACTATTGAATGTTTTTATGAGCTATGTTTTCTGTTCTTCATTTTGTTTTCTTGTTCAACTATCATATTATGGTTGCGTAGATATGTGTATAGATTGTAAGGGCAAAAAGTTGTATATCTTTAAAAAAGGAGATGGGTTTTATGGCTAGCTGAAAATTTCTTCAATGTTTTGATATTGTTATAGGTGCAGTGGACTCTGAGAAAATGAGTCTAATGAAGGTGGCAGCTGTCATTGAAAACACTGCTAAAAGTGGTGCTGTAGTTCTTGATCTTAAAGGGAAGTTGGAAGATAAAGTGGAGTGGCTTCCTGTATCGCTTGGGAAATTATCAGAAGTCACTGAACTGGACTTCTCTGAAAACCGGATCATGGCCCTTCCGCCAACGATGGGTGGCCTTAAAGCCTTAACAAAGCTTGACATTCACTCAAACCAGCTTATAAACCTTCCAGAGTCATTTGGTGAGTTGAGCAATCTCACTGATCTTGATCTCCATGCAAACATGTTGAAGTCTCTGCCAGCTTCATTTGGGAACTTGATTAACCTTATTACCCTTGATTTGAGTTCAAATCAGTTCACCCATTTGCCTGATGTAATTGGGAAATTGGCCAGTTTGAAGATATTGAATGCTGAAACAAATGAGCTTGAGGAATTGCCTTACACGATTGGATCCTGCACATCACTTGTGGAGCTACATTTGGATTTCAATCAGCTAAGAGCTCTGCCAGAGGCAATTGGAAAGCTCGAAAGCTTAGAGGTTCTTACACTTCACTACAACAGAATTAAAGGGTTGCCAACAACTGTTGGGAATCTTAACAATCTGAAGGAGCTTGATGTCAGCTTCAACGAAATAGAATCCATACCCGAAAACTTGTGCTTTGCAGTGAGCATAAAAATACTGAATCTGGCAAACAATTTTGCAGACTTAAGAGCCTTGCCACGATCAATCGGAAATCTTGAGATGCTTGAAGAGTTGGATATCAGTGATGATCAGATTAGAACTTTACCACACTCCTTCAGACTTTTGTCAAAACTGAGAGTTTTTCGTGCGGACGAGACACCTTTGGAAATTCCACCAAAAGAAGTTATAAAAATGGGTGCCGAGGTAATGCAAAATATATATGCTACTAGGGTTTTTAGTCTGTGTATGTCTAACTTTGATATATAAAAAACTCATATTCAACTTGTTTGTTGATCACCAGGCAGTTGTACAGTACATGGCAGATTATGTTGCCGAGAGAGAGAATGCTAAATTTCAGTCATTGAAGAAGAAGAAGAAGAAGGGATTTTGGTTCTGGTTTTGCTCAAAACTTTGCTCCATTGGTAGAAATTCAACCAAGAACAAACCGGTACTAGTTTGAAACCTTGCCTACATTTTTTTCCTCTGAAGAAATTGTGCCACAGTAATGGCCTATTGTCCATATTTATTCGAGTGAGACCAAAAACTTTTCTACTTGTAGAGTGGTTTTGCTTGGGCCTAGCGGGTTGAGAGAGAAAATATAACAAAACATCATACCCTATTATATTATGTGTGCGGATAATAAGTTAATAACTCTTACTCTTTGAGATAATTTTTGTTGATACAATTATGAAATTGTCTTCAGTTGGAATTTTCATACGCTAAAAGTCGAGAGAGAAATTATTATATGGTATCGGAATATTATTGTATAATTAAGGGGTGCATGGATGAATTTATGTTTCAAAGTATAATATAATTACTCTTGAAATCCAATTGGTAGCTTTACTGACACTGTTTTTCCAAGATAACGGTGCAATAAACTAATGCATTTTATTTTATTAAAAAAAAAAAAAAAAAGGCTCTTGTGAGTTTCATATGGCAAAATAGTAGCTGACTTTTAGCAAAAAACTATTTTTTTTAAAAAGGTCATTTCTGAAAATTGTTTTCTAAAACGGCGGGCTCAATTCTCTGCCCAAGAATGTTCCGTAAAATACACGTACATTATTCTTCAAATCAGATATATAAATTGATATCTTTCTGTGTTTAAAAGAAAAGAAATACTTGGCTTAGCTCTGAAAGCCTTGCCCAAATAAAACTCACAAGAATTCTTCCTTTCAAAAATAAGTAAATCAAAATCGTTACCAAACAAATTTAGTAGTTGGATTGGAGTTTGGACATTATCCGTTAAAAAAAAAGGGCGAACAATCGGAAGTAGGGATTTTTAGTTTCTGCATTTACATTACGTGCATTTCGAAATATCTTAATCCTTTAAATAATCTAACGTTTGATAGCCCTCCCATGATCCCATCCCACCCCCGCCCGGCACAGCTAGAATAGGGTAAAGATCCCAACGACCTTTCTGAATATTGCCCTTCACGCTAAGTTTTGTGCAGCCCGCATCTTTCGCTATGATTAAACCTCTCCATGTTCTTGCATGGGCTTCAGCCTCAGCGAGAGAAGACGACAAACTGATTCCACCACCTCCTTGCACAAATTTGCTTTCATCATGGCAAATAACAGCCCTCAAACCCGCCAGCAAAGATTGTTTCTCCCAGGTTGCATCAATATTCAACTTACGAACTAAAAGGGGGGCGGGCACCGCCGCACCAGCACAGATAATAAGTTTCCTGAGAAATCTCCTCCCTCAACATCATCAGATCACCTCTTTTAGCATCCCAAGTTTCAGCAGCCAGTTGATTTTTTTCTAATTCAATGGTAAATCTTGGACATATGGGCACATCCCGATTTCCAGATACCCCAACAAGTAACGCCAATATGCATCATTATCCAATCCATATTTTCTTGCTAGTTGGGATATTGAACAAGGATGGTTTGCCTTGTCCTAACCAGCAGTAGCACGCCTCTTGTCTTTTGAGATGGATCTTGAAGTTTCCTTGCTATGTCTAGCGCTCTTGTGTTGCGCTAGACATTGGGAGGAAAGAAACCCCTTGGGGTTTCGTTTCGAACTGCCATTGGAGTTATTTTTGTGTGTTTTTGGTGATTTACCATACAATACACATGGTATATGTGGATGGTTAATGCATTTACCAATTTGCCCCCAGAAACAAAAAAAAAGTTAAACATTAGCAGTCGGTTTTCCAAATTTCCCGTTCCACACGCTCTGCTCACTCAACACCTAACCAAAAAGAAAGAAAAAAAGAAAAGAAAAAAGAAATATAAAGCTCCTCCTGTTTTGCATGCCCTCCTCCTATTCTCGCTTCGCTTTCTCTCTCAGTTTCGCCAACTGTGACAACAGCCAGACGCCGATCGTCCCCAATTCCATGTGAGTTTCTTGAAATTTTCATTCTTTTTAATATCATATTTCGATGCACCTAACTCTCCTGCTTTTATTTTAACGATTTGTTTTTATAATTTTTTTTTTTTGAGCCTATAGATACAGCTAGATATATAATTACATATACTACACACAATGGGTTGCACTGTGAGAGAGAAGCACATCCGTACAAATCGTAGGCCCCGATCTGCAAAACCCGATTTCGATTATTGTTGCCACATTGATAGAGCATCAATCTCTAAATCCATACTCGAATCGGGTCTCAAGCCATTCAATCACCATCTGGGTTCCAACAACGATTCCACCCAGAACCCTAAATCGAGCCCAAGCCCCAACTCCAATTTCGATGAGAGTGGGTGGGGTTACTGCACTGAGGAACAATTAGAAGAAATTCTTTTGAAGAATTTAGAATTTTTGTACAATGAGGCTATTTCTAAGCTAGTTGCATTGGGTTATGATGAGGATGCTGCGCTTAAAGCGATATTGAGAAATGGGCACTGCTATGGTGGCATGGATGTGCTGACCAACATTTTGCATAACTCATTGGCTTATTTGAATAGTAATTGTGGTAGCAGTAATGGGAAGTCGGATGAGGCTGAGCCCGTTTTTGCTGACTTGAGGCAGTTAGAGGAGTACTCGCTTGCAGGTATGGTGTGTATGTTGCAGCAAGTTAGACCACATTTGACTAAAGGTGATGCCATGTGGTGTTTGCTTATGAGTGATCTTCATGTGGGTCGAGCAAGTACTATGGAAATTCCTGTGCTTCCCGGAGGAGGTATTGAAAATAGTAGTTTGATATCTACTAGTGTTGAGTCTGGTAGTAATGGTAACCATTCGGTTGGTGTTATGGCTCCGGCTCTTTGTAGGTTTCATGGTGGTTGGGGGTTTGGAAATGGGGGAGGTTCAGAGTTTCCTGTTCATGGGTTTTTCTCTTATGGTGCTGAGTTGACTTTGCAAAGGGATATTGAGTGTCCCAAGAGGTTTAACCTTTCTCCTTCAATGAAGTCATTGTTGAAAAGGAATGTTGCAATATTTGCAGCTGGTTTTCGAGCAAACTCAAAACAGTTAAATGCACAACCACAGGCTTGCCTGAGTAATTTGGCGAGTGGGGATACCCCGGTTGCACTGGGGTCTGAAGTTCCGGTTTAGCACTCTGAGAAAACACGAAATTCGAAGAACCAGGAGGTGGTTAACTCAGTATTGAGTAAGTTTCGTGATTTGAATCTTGATGAGAATTTAGAGTTTGTGGGGGAAGATCAAAAGAATGAGGTGATAGTAAATCTTCTTCATCAGGTTGAAGAGCTTGAGAAGCAAGTTAAGGACCGGAAGGAGTGGGCCCACCAAAAGGCTATGCAAGCTGCAACAAAGCTCAGCCATGACCTGGCGGAGCTAAAAATGCTGAGGCTTGAAAGGGAGGAGACTCAAAGGTTGAAGAAAGGGAAACAAACTCTTGAGGACTCAACTATGAAGAGACTATCGGACATGGAGAATGCATTAAGAAAGGCCAGTGGTCAAGTGGACAGGGCAAATGCAGCTGTGAGACGGCTTGAGACTGAGAATGCAGAAATTAGAGCAGAGATGGAGGCTTCTAAACTGAGTGCTTCAGAGTCAGTCTTAACCTGTTTGGAGGTTGCAAAGAGGGAGAAAAAGTGCCTGAAGAGGATGTTGGCATGGGAAAAACAAAAAATTAAACTGCAGGAAGAGATTGCAGAGGAGAAAGAGAAGATTTCAGAATTGCAACGACATTTGGCTCGGATGAAGCATGATCAGAAAGAAGCTGAGGTTTGTTGACTTCATATATTTTATCTCTGCACATGGATACCCACCTCAGGTGTCTCTTTACATAGTGCATGTTTATGTTATTTGAAGTTACATCTTGTTAGTATGTCTGGTTACATAGGGCCATGTTTTTTGATTCATAGAAAGTCAAGCAACCCCTTGATTAGAACCAAATTTTTAGTTTCGAACAACTAACTTAAGTGAAGCAACCACTTGAGTAACCACTCAAAACTTAAGGTCTTACAGTTTAATAGAAGAGGGATCATTGAGTGGAGGAATAGTTTAGATACTACAATATGCAAGCTCAGGCTCCTTGCCATCTAAAAGCATGGGATTCTAGAGTTTGGTTTAGAGTAATGAAGAAGTCAAGGATCATAGGCTGGTATTCTTTGGTCTATTATCTGTCTGATTTCATTCTGTTGTACTTCGAATATGCTTATGATATGATGGGGAGTTTGGAGTTTCCAACCTTTTCTTGCTGTTTTGTAATCTTTCTCCACCTAAGAAGCCACTTGTGAAGTACTGAAGTGTATTGTTGCAATTCCATGAAGTTTGGAATACTTCATTCATCATGTAATTGGTCCTATATCACTTGGGTTCTGGGTAAAGTTTTCTTGACTTAAAATGTTTTCATAGCAAATCCTGTACTGTGTCCTAGCTAGATGCTCCTTTCGCTTTAAACTGTTAATATCTTCAGGTTGGTTCTGGGGTTTTTATTTTTTCTAAATTCTAATTTACCAGTTTTTTGTATCACTGGAACTGTGATTGTTGGCTATAGGTTTGATAGTTGATTGGATTTTAATTTTTAATTTTTTACTTTCATTTCTTTTTATGAGAGCATCCGCAATGGTTGTTCAATAGTTCAAGGATGACAGAATGCTGACATTATTGCATTGAAGTATTGAACAACCATTGCAGATATCTTAATGGGTTAACCATGTTTGAGAAATGTAGTAAGCTTATATATATATATTGTAATGGGTATTTATATCATACTTTTTACAATTGTATCTGAAACGTTGCAAATGCGCACAAAGAAACTAGTCATCATATTTAGCTGCCTATTTCTGTGTATCATAAATGATAAACCAAAAGGTGGTTCTGTTTGAACCCCAAATTTGCTAACTTGACCCCCTTCAATTTTTTTTGGTAATTGAAAATATAGTTTTACGCTGGTAATTTCTCAGGCAAAATCAGCTTCCCATCCTTGGTCAGCTTAAGTTGTTGACTGAAACTTTGTGATATTTTCAGTTGTGTGAGTATAGTCTTTAGACTTTTGTTGGCATCAGCATTGCTTTATTAAACAACTCAGCTTCTGTTTCTCTCCCTAGTTCGGGAGTTTTAGGGGCAGGGTTTATATTTTGGGTTAAAGGGCCTGCAGTTTTCAAGGTGATGGGTGGATTTGTTGTTTTTAATGGTTGTTTTGGTGGGGATTTTGATGGGTTTTGAAGTTGAATTTTAGTGGTAAAGGCTGAGATGGTGACTTAGGGTTGCTTACCAATAAATTTTATTTTATTTTTTGTTCTGTTTGTGTACTCATATTTACATGGGTACTTCTTTTTTGGTGGCAATTATGTATGAATATGTATATGGTTTTTTCTAATCGTTCTAAAGTTCTATTCGGTTTTGCTGTAGCTATTTTGTGTAGCCGTATAAATATGGCTAACTGCAACAATCACCAAGTCAATATTGACATTGATGAAGTTGGTACATTTGCGATGTTGTTTATCCTGTTATTTATAGGGAGTGTAGCCACCAAATTGGGACTCACATCCATTTTTCTTGAAGTTTTCGCTTTGTTGTTAGGTAAAGTTTTCCTTACATTTTGAATGGAGTAAACTGGTTGGTAAAATTAGTAGCGAGAGGGTTTGCGTAAGGGACAGATTAGAAATCCTTTTTTTCTATTCCAAAGTTTGTCTTTTAATTTTTTAAAGTTAGTAAAAACCTTAGATGCTAGATTCTGGCACCTCTTGGATGGGGGTGTGAAGGGGATGAAAGGTCTTTTTCCCCCAAATTTTATCTTTGATTTATTTTTCTTTTTATTCAATGGGTTTATAAATTTACAAATAAGTGAGTGAATCAATTGAGGAATTTGGGGGGTTCAAATTAGAACAACCCACTTCTATAGTTTAGGTATTAATTATCAGGGTTTAATTGTAAGGTGTTTTTTTACTTAATCATTTTGGGATTGCCATGTAAAAGAGTCATAGGGTTTCAGACTGTTGTCACTCTCTCTCTCTCTCTCTCTCGCCTTTACGATTCCCTCTATTCTTCCTCCCTTTCACTTTTTTTGTTCTACAAAATTTATATGGTAAGATTAAAAGTACCAATCACTGAAGTGCTCACGTAATCCATCACTACTCTCAAAATATCTCTAAACCAAAGCCCACCTGTTTTTTTGGGTCAACTTTCAATGGCAGCAGCACTCCCTGGCTGGGTTGCCACGGGTAACCCTTTTTTTTCCAATTTTTTTATTTATAAAGCTTGTGGGGTTGAGCATTTTGGTTGGTGGTAAAAAATCACTCTCCATTGATGTGCTTACATAATGTGCTTTGGAGTTTCGTATTAATATTTATTGATATTTGGATTCTACATATCCCATACCAGTGCACCAATTCTGCTGAGCTATTTTCTTGTTACAGGTGAAATGGGGGCAGGAGCTGAAGGCTAAGGAGGAAGCCTTAGCACAAGTGGAAGAGGAACAACGTGCTAAGGAAGCAGCTGAGGCTAGTAATAAACGAAAGGTTGAGGCTCTGCGCCTAAAGATAGAAATAGATTTCCAGCGTCACAAGGATGACCTCCAAAGACTTGAGCAGGAACTCTCACGCCTAAAAATATCTGCCCAGTCTACCGAATTGCTTCATCCATCAAATGCTTTGCCAAAAGCAATTTCTGAGGGTGCAAAACCCCAAGGAGAAACTATTGCTAAGCTGCTTCGTGAATTAGATAACCTGGAGAATTCATCAGAGAAAGAAGTCAACTGTGATAGGGAATGCATAATTTGTATGAAAGACGAAGTCTCTGTTGTTTTCCTGCCATGTGCGCATCAAGTTCTTTGTGCCAATTGCAATGATGATTATGGGAAAAAAGGTAAAGCCACCTGCCCATGTTGCCGGGCTCCCATTGAACATAGGATTCGTGTTTTTGGTGCAAGTTCTTAGTCCTCCCAGAGAAAGATTCTGTCTTCTCCCTGAGTATGACTATTTCAGGTATACCAAATAATATACAGTTCTTATTTCCTTGGTCATTCAGGCTACATGCTGAGCACATCAGCAAAATAGATATGTGCTAATATAAAAAGAAAGCCTTTTTTCCAGCTTGTGTTTTTACAATTTGGAGTGACAAGAACATCTGTTTCTCGGTTGTTTCCATCCCTGTTTCATTAGCGAAATCGGCTAATGCTTTTTATATAGTAACATACATTTGCAGCTCAACGAGGAAATAATTGATTGTTATGATTGCTGTAAAATGGTGCTGATTTTTTTTTGGAGCATGTTATAGGGCAGTAGCATATAGTCTGGAAATTTGAAACAGTGAAACTAGATATGAGCTATCTGAGTTTTTCTGTTCCTATTTCCTCCATGGAGATGTGCTGATTACAAGTGTATAATGGTGTGTGAATTGTTTTTCTCTCAATTTTTTGATTGTTTGTTTAATGCTGGATTTTTTTCACCATTGCCCCACAATGTGTTTACCTACCGTACATCTTCTCCATAATGTATGGTAGGCAAACAAAAAAAATCATGGAAGTGCCCTAATTAGCAATAAAAAATTGTGACTTGCTACAATGCCATGTTGAGAGGAATTGGGAACTAAATACTCTCCAATGTCTAACCATCCTGCTGGCTTCGTTTTCTATGGTTATACACATAATACGCAACCATGAAGATGACAAAGAGCAGCGGCACTAAACCAACAAGCACCTTTTGCCTTGCATCAATATCTCCTGCATCTCTCTTATCTGAAATGTTGAAAACAAGAAGCATCTATAATGAATTTACATCATTATTTTTTAGATGTAAAAACTCAAATTATATAAACAAAGCATACAATGCATTAACAACTTGGACTTCTCTAAAAAGAGAGAAAAAGAAAACAACTTGGTGAAGATGTATGATGTATGGTAGGCAAATCACAGCTCGACACCTTTCTATTTATACATGAGAATGACTTGTCATGGAAAAATTAGCAGCATGTGTCAAATTGTGATTTGCCAGCCTCAGCTCGTAACGAAAAAATTACTCTTTACGCATGCATAAGGAGCTAAGCAATGAGTTAATGGTACAAGGTCTTTGATTCAAATCATTCCAAGCAGATTTTGTAAGAAATGAAAATAAAAGATATAGAGTTATTCGAACCTTGAAACAAATGTTTGTAAAGTAGTAAAATAGGTAAAGCAACCACACGTAGAGAAACAAATGTTAGTAAAAACCCTAGCATCTTGATCAAAGGTAAAGAACTAAACAAGCGACATATGGAATTACTATAAAAGAAGCTAGAAGATTTGTAATTACCTTCCATAATGAAATCTCTAATATATATTGATGGTGATTTTCTGGATGAAAAGTTTATAATTATTCACTGGAAGGGTTGAGAAATTGTTGTCCAGAAGCTAGCACAGAAGACAAAGATATGGCTCCAATTTCATACTACTTATTGATCTTCTATATGTAGGGTTTGAGATCTTTGTGCATTTCCATATTGTTCCTTGGCATGCAATATGAGGATCTATAGAAATCTTTCTGCATGTCATTATTTGGTAATGAGAGTATCCGAGTGCTTGCATTGAGAATTAATGCAAATCTAGGTGGTGATTCATGAAAAATCAATTGCCCTAAATACATTGCCCATATAATAATTATCATATCTCAAGGTGAATGAATATTGCACGCAGCAAATCATAAGGTGCCTCAGAATTTGGCAATAGAGATTTCTCTCTCTATTTTGAACCAAGATCTTGAAATTCGGAATGGGTTTGGTTTGGTTTGATACATTTTTTCTAAGAGGGTTGTCAAGCGTTATTAATTTAAAGTAGGGATAACAATTTGTGTTCGCGCATTGTGTCGACAATACTTTAACACAGTTACACAACCAGAATTAACACGAATGTACGATTCAATTACTATATATCTTGTCAACTAATTTGCACCGCCGCACATGGAATTTTTATTACACATGTAACATGAGATGACACACATAAGTCCAGTTCTGTTACCTCTAGGTTCACACGATTAATTCGTTTATTAGCATGTACATAAGCTAACAACAATGAAGTTTTAACTAATTTTTACTAAAACACAACATTACAAAGGAAACCAACAATAAAACATCTAACATAGCACAAGAACCGCGTCCAGACAACCAATCACTGGGTGAGACACGACAAGACACTCAGAGGAGTTAGAGCCATCTAGACCGGCGCACAACATTAGGCACTTGTTGGAGGGCAAGGGAGACGTCCGTTGTTGTAGAGAACGTGCACAAGTGAGGTGGGGGGGTCTGGATATCTAGACTTCCAGGCTCGACCTCCATAGTGCGGCAGCTGCCAAATGATCTGCAGCTTGGTTTCCAGACCGGCATGTCCAATTCTAGGTGCATTGATTGAAGTTGTGGTGATACTCGCGAATCCTGGCGAGAATGGGGTACGTACATTGATGTCACAACTAGTTAACACAATACGATATGATTGTTAAACATGTTAATTAGTGGCATTTTCGGGTTATGGCATGAGTGCGATTATTTTGTGTCCTTTTTGTGTGCCCAAATTTGTCATCTCTAATTTAAAGCTTTTCTTTGAGGCGAGGGTGTTTTTTTTCATTTTATGGTGTCATTTTTGATAATATTATATGAAAATACAAACATATCATCAATACAGGAAGTGTTGTCTATATGTGTCTATGAAGAAAGTGACGTTTCAAGAAACCCTTAACGTTTCAAGAAACGTTATAGAAATGCTTTCTTTCAGACTTTATTTGCCTCAAGCACACCAAATAGATAAACAACAACGTTCAAGACTAACTAGGAACAATGCTCCGCAGAAATTAGTTTCCGATGACTTTGTTTTCTAGAAAGCAATGGGGGAATTAATAAGTGATCAAAAGAGATGTTCAGTCAGATCAATTCCCTTGAATAGTATTGCTTCACTATCACAACGAATAATAGGAGGCACTGGCTTAGGCCAAGTTGGAATCTTTTTCAACAGATTTCTTAGCCGTTCTGCTTCTTTTTGCTACAATATGTGGTGCAAATTGTACTGCTTTTCTTACCTCATTATTAATACAAACTAAGCAAATATAAATTACAGAGGGAGAAAATAAAAATCAGCCACGAGCCCTCCTAGGCCGGTAGCATGAAGCAGGTCAGATGGAGGAGAAGGAGCTAGAAGATGCCAAGTGGTGAAACCTAAGCTTCACATTGAGAAGTTGAGAATGCACGAGAGATGTTTCCAAAACCCAAAAAATCAAACACACACAGCTGTTTGAGAACAACAGCTATGCCTCTCTATGCCTCTCTATGCCTACATGCAACAAAGTGGTTCAAGAAAATCATAATGTTAGGTTTAACAATAAGCTTGCCTTTCCTTCCTTTTCTTTTCTGGCAAGTCTTGGCTGTGTGATAACTTGTTACCCGTGAGCCTGAAGACTGCTGCTAGCTGCACTTTTTAATGCTGCGTGCATTATTTCTTTTCCACACCAACCTTTTGTCACTTGTCAACGCTTCACCGTTGACCAAACTCAAAATTTCAACATCGGAAGAATCCACAGGCGAATATTCTCCCAAGAGGATTTTTGCACAAACAATCGGTATGGTACATCAGATCTTGTAGTACCACCCCTTGTTTTGATGAAGACAGTAATTAACTTTAGTTTTGATACTTGTTTTCTTTGCTAATTAAGCAGATGCAGATGATTAATAAACAAGTTTAGATTCTGCTAAACAATTTTGGGGTTTCATTTGGATGACATCTTTATGCAGAGAAAAAGTTCAAGATTAATCTTATTAATCTTAATTTATATGAGTATGAGATTATAATTTGATAGTTGAGATATTGGTTTAAGTGTTTGAGATCTAAGAAGGTATATTCTCAATACAAATTTTAGACTTTGTTGAGTGGTAAATGTGTCAGTCAGTGAAACCCTATGCCCAAAAAGTTAAAATGAATTTTCTTTTTGCTTATGCAACAAAAAAGAGTGAAGATGGCAAGGGGCTTGTAGCTCAAGTGATTAAGAGCATTATTCCTGCACTTCGATTTCCCCCTCCCTCAATTTCTCCTGTATAAAAGAAAAAAAAAAGTGTGAATTATAGGAACCTCTAATCAGGGTTGAGTCTTAGTGAGGAAATCAGTTTTCTATTGTGTATTGACTCTTACCATCTGTGAAAGCAACCCACAATTAATATGAGCACACTTTTGTGATAGGCATGTGAAATGTAGCAAGAGTCACCAATCTCACTTTCACACCCTATATAAAGTAACGCTAAGCTGTATCAGAGAAAGTTGGGGTTCTCTGCATAGTACAACAAAGACTCCCAGCCAGCCAGCCAGCCAGCCAAAGCATATACTTGCCATTATTTTAATACTTCCCAAATTATGGCTGCATGGTCTTGTTCCTGTACTGCTTAATTATACATACACACACACATATGCACATATACATATGTATGTATGTATGTGTGTATCAAAATATAGTTATCAGAATCATCTGATCACTGTATTGCATTAGAATTGCCAATTTCTCCACAACAATTCCCTCCACCATTTTCAGTTTGTGTGTCCTCTAAATTTTTTGGGGGTTTTCCTATATGTTTCCCAAAGTTCATGCAGGCATGGAAATGGATGACACAAATTCTGGCAAAAGTAAAGGGAACGCAGAAAAGAGTTTGCGAATTCTTGTTGATAAGATGAGGCGATTTCCGGGTTTGGTTTGGGAGACAGTGTGGAAGGTGGGACGAGAGGACCCGAGAAGGGTGATCCATGCTTTGAAAGTTGGCTTGGCTTTGACACTGGTCTCCTTGTTATACCTGATACAGCCGCTGTATGTTGGGATTGGCCAGAATGCCATTTGGGCTGTCATGACTGTGGTTGTTGTGCTAGAGTTCACTGCAGGTTATTAGTTTGCTCAACTTTTTTTGAATCTTAGTTATTAGCCTATGCTTGTTTTAATTAAGATACATATGTGATGAACAAAAGTATATATGTGTCTGATGTGTTTGTTGCTCTTTGAAAATAGGGGCAACTTTATGCAAAGGACTCAACAGAGGATTGGGAACACTGATAGCTGGATCATTGGCATTTTTCATTGAGTATGTTGCAACTAAATCTGGTCGGACTTCTCGAGCAGTTTTCATCGGAGCTGCAGTTTTTCTGATAGGTAAGCTCATCTTTATTAGCTAAGCAACGTTTAGACATTTTCTAGAGAGCTAAAAAAGACCAAGATTTCCAAGTGGACCTTGGCGTTTATGTTAATCTAAAGTAGTTCTTTTAGCATAATTTTTCAATCTAAATTTTACTCATTTGTTAAATTTTCAGTTCCTTATGCTATTATGTATTCCCTCTGAAATTAGAGGAAAAAAAAATCACTAGTTTAATATTTGGATATCTTTTCCTTTTGTTTTTATTTTTATTTTTTTTATTTGGCAGGATCTGCAGCTACATACATGAGGTTCTTTCCTTATATTAGGAGGAACTATGATTATGGAATTGTGATATTTCTCTTGACCTTCAACCTGATAACCGTGTCAAGCTACCGCATCGACAATGTCCTGAAGATTGCACATGAGCGCTTCTACACCATTGCCATAGGTTGTGGTGTCTGCCTGTTAATGAGTCTACTGGTATTTCCAAATTGGTCAGGAGAAGAGCTACATAATTCTACAGTGTTCAAGCTTGAAGGCCTAGCTAGAGCTATTGAAGGTATGCAAAGCTGCTTATTATTATGCCTTTACCTTCTAATCCTAATCTAAATAACTTCTCAAATTAATATGATTATGCCAATGATACAAGTAATGAGTAGCTTCTGATTTTGCAGCTTGTGTCAACGAATACTTCAGCGATGCAGAAAAAGAAGTATCTGGAGACCAATCGACGGAGGATCCCATATATGACTGTTATAAGGCTGTTTTGGACTCAAAATCTATGGACGAAACAATGGTAGGTCCTTTGAAATCCTTTTGGTTTAATTTATTTATTAAATTTGATGTCATGGATAGACACTGAGTCTTTCTCTGCCTCTTGAATGTTTTTGTTGTTGCAATATGAGCAGGCGCTACATGCAAGTTGGGAACCAAGGCACTCAAGACACTGCTACAGATTTCCATGGCAGCGCTACGTGAAGTTGGGAAACGTTCTTCGCCATTTTGGCTACACAGTTGTTGCTCTACATGGATGTATACAAACCGAAATTCAGGTAAAACTTGAATGGATCTATTCAGCTAAAACAGACAATATGGTATGCATGCCCCAAATTTTTTTTCTAATAATACATATGATACGTAATATATTCATTCCAAGAGACAAAGAAAAAGACAAAATTCTAAAGGATGATGATGGTTATGAATTATGATTATGAGTCAGAGAACCTCATAATTAGTTCATACTGAATAAGAAAATCTGTCACATGCTTCTTGTTATGACAGATCACAGATTTGGAAAATAGTTTCACATGCTTCAGCCAAAAAGGGAATCTCATTTTTGCCGTGTTTTTCTTAATTACTGATGAGGTTTTTTCTTTTTTTTGGGAATTTCTCTTGCAGACACCAAGATCTGTTAGAGGTCTATTCAAGGACCCCTGCATTCGACTTGCGGGAGAAGTATCGAAAGGGCTAAGGGAACTTGCCAGCAGTATAAGAAACCGTCGCCATTGCTCCCCCGAGATACTCTCCGATCATCTCCATGAAGCTTTGCAAGACCTTAACACTGCCATAAAATCACAACCAAGACTGTTCCTTGGCTCCAACAGCAACCAGGCCACCAACATGCTTGCTCTGGCAGCTGCTCACGCCACTCAAAAGCAAGGAGTCTCGCTATCGAGTGTGAAAACCGACAGCTCAGCATTGCTCGACTGGAAAAACAAGAGGACAACCGAGCAGTCAAAGGAGCCGGAGAGGAAATTCTTGAGGCCCCAGCTGAGCAAAATTGCTATCACTGGCCTTGAGTTCTCAGAAGCACTTCCTTTTGCAGCTTTTGCTTCCTTGCTGGTGGAGACTGTGGCAAAGCTTGACAATGTGATTACTGAAGTTGAAGAACTGGGAAGGATTGCATGCTTCAAAGAGTATCAACATGGAGTTGAGGATATTGTTGTGACTTGTGAGAAGCCACCAGTGAATCCTGCTCAAAATCAACTGCCTTGTCATGGGGCTGATTGATAATAAAAGATGTAAAAGTATTTTGCTATGTCTTGTTTATTGGCAGTGGCTGGCTTATTGTTAAATGAAACTATTTGACATATTTTTACCTGTCTTTTTTACAGACAAATGTTCATTCATAACTTCATACCAGATAATAATAATCAAGTTCAAATAATTGAAACCAAAGGCATCAATGTTATTGTTTTGATCAGATTATTCATTTTCCAGGTTCTGTTGTGGTTATTGTAAAAAATAATTTGCACTTCAATTATTCAGTTTAAAATCTGGTGCGGCTAAATGACTTGGAAGAATTAAGCATAAAAAAGGAGGTTTTTAAGGGCCCAACCGGGTTCGAACCGGTGACCTCTTGATCTGCAGTCAAATGCTCTACCACTGAGCTATGGACCCATTTGTTGAATAATTGTACAAACTAACGATAAATATGGTTTTTGTTTCTGTGCTTCATGGGCTTCAATAATATTATAGGCCCATAAAGAATTTTAATAACTATTTTTATTTACAATTCGATTTACATAAATTATAATTCTGGATGAGCTTGAATATGATGCACAATAATGATATAGCCAAACTGGGTTACAACATATAAGTATGATGATTTGTCAAAAATAAAAAAACAAAAACCAGTTGACTCTAAAAAAATTAAACCAATAGTTGACAAATGTCAATTCTGGGGTAGAGAAAATATGAGGATAAGATACTTGAGCTCTTGCCAATATTTGTGAGGATGTCAGTGAATGAGAGAGTGTTTGTTGGGTGTGGATTAGTAATTAGCCATTTCATCCGAGCATGGCTTCTTGCTTCTCAAACCACACTGTATGTTATGGGTGGAAGAGAAGAAGCAGCCCATGTAGCTTGTTTGGGTGGAACATAGGCAAGAGAAAACAGGATGAATTGCCACAGACCAACAAGTACCATGAAACTGATCTTCCATTCTCTCCTTCTCTGCTTGGCAAAACTTTCTTAAGTGGTATATGCTCTCTCTCATCTCTCTCTCTCTCTCTCTCTCCCAATTGCATTTCACATGCATCACTAATCATTAATCAAAACCCATAATTCTTGTACATCTCTAATGCATAATGCCTCTAGCAGTCACATGTCTCTCCCCAAAAATATTCAATACAAACATAATGGTGGGTTTGTTGTTTTTTATTTCTTTTGGTTCACATATCATTATGAGAGGGCGTAAAATATGAAAACAGATCCAATCATAGGGTCCTTACGCTTTAAGACTTGAAATGATTTTGAGCAGGTAGGGAACTGAAGTGTTGCTATAAGGCCACCATTGATGGATTTAGTGCAGCTAATTTCCACAACTGCTGTGACTTCAAGGGGCCATGCGCCATAATTGGCTACACAAACAAGTCCTTCAAGTTTGGGGCATTCAACCCTGAAGGCTACAGAAGCACAGATGATTACTATGACACTTTTGATGCATTCCTCTTCTACTGGACAGATAATGAAATAGCTGACCCAATTGTTCTACCCAAAGTAGGAGGCAGTGGGGCAGCCCTTTTCGATTATGCTCGGGGCGGGCCACAATTTGGGGCCGATGGTCTGCTTATCGGGCCACCTCTAGCGCCGGTTATGGGGGGGTTTGCAGGTCCGGATACTAATTCGGGTATTGGTGATTTAAGGCAAGCCAAATCTAGATTAGGATTGTCATATGCAAAGAGGGAAGATGGGAAGGAGTCACTTTTTGGGGATGAGTCTAGAGCAACCCTTGAAGAAGTTGAAGTTTATTGTAGCCCTCAAATTGCAAGTTTGTACTAGACATAATAAAATGGTGTCCTCATTGCTCAAGTTCAACCTCACAATGATTGGTCACGTACTAGTCTTTGACTAGGTTACATGTGAGATTTTCGCCTATACATGTTTCATGGCATTAGAAATCGTTGTTTTAGGCACTCTTCGAACGTCTCAAATTTTGCAGAAGGAGACTTGCAAAGAAATGAACCTGCCTCATTTGCATTGGTCATTTGACTTTGGAGATGTAGCTGCTGCCTCATTTCATTTCGTTTTCAACCAAAACAAGTGGAGAATACTCGTTTATTTGTTTCCACTACAAGGGAAAAGTAACTGGGCGTGCTTATTCGATACTTTAGGCGCCAAGCAGTAGGTGCTGAGAGTGAAAGATTAGGGGGCGGGAGATTCTGTTTCAGAAAATAATGGTGGGTCTTGGATAGAAAAAGAGTAAATTATAGGCCTTTTAAGATAGCATTCCTAAAGTCACAATAGTATAGTCTATTTTTTATCAAGATGCTTAAGAAAGTGATGAAGGGGGAGGCAGGGAACAATTGGAAAACTTGAGCTGAGAGAAATGGACATTTATTTGAAACTCATTGGGTCTGGAATGACACCTTTTGTGGCCTTTCCAAGGCATCCTGCCCTTATTAAATCTGTTGTCACAAAACTAAAGTTATAATTTGTTTACTTTGGTGGAATGTTCACACCATAAAGAGCTGCACTTTTCAATCAGAAAATCTTCAGTTTGGGGTTTCCTAAAGCACCTCAGAGGCAGAAGAATGGTTGAAATTCTGATGGGTGGCTGCTGCCCCAAAATCAAACCACACCAACTACTAAATTAGGTAACAAATCTGGAAGCTCCAATTTGAGCACAGCTCTTAGCCTGTCTTAGCTTTCATCAGCAGCACCCCCATACCACTTCTGTCCAAGTGTGGTATATAAAAGCACTTCCCACTATTTATTTCCACATTCAACTGCAGATTCCAGCTTAAATTCACAACCAAACACAGAAGTCTTACAAAGGTTTGCTTTCAGAAGTCACAACCAAAAAGGATGTGATCCTGTTAGAGCATGAGATTTCAAGTTCGAACCCCTGCAACCTGCAAATTCATAAACTGAATTTTTTTAGAACAGTGATCAACTTAAATTTTTTATGAGATCCCTCAACTCCATTTTCCTTTGGAAGAACAAAGGCCCTGTTCTTTGTAGACAACCATTGTTTGATTGCTAACCATTAAAAAAAAAGCTTTAGAAGAGATAAGGTGGTGGCAATGTATCATGGGGCCCGTCAATCCCTTACCCTTCGAGTTTTCCATTTACTATCAAATATGCTGTAAGATCTGAAAGTTATAAAGTAATTTTGATTGGAATCAGCCAAAAACAAGAGATCGAGTGCAATAGGAAGTGAATCTTAATTTGGTGATGAAATTCTAGGAGTGAAGCTCTTTTAGCTATCCACCAAAACCCAAGTGACCCCCACCAATTCCATTGATTACAAACCAACCAAAAAGTTTAAAAGGATGTGTCTGGATGTAACTTCTTAATGGGATGGCTTATCAAACCTTTTAAAATGCACTTTCTCACTAGCTTTAAATCTCAAGAGAATATTAAGTTTGGAAAACTCCAATAATTTGAAGGGCATTATGATTGAAGAAGATAACTTTGTTGGTTGAAAGTTAAGACACAAGTACTATTTTTCAGTTCACATGTAGCCACTTTTCTCTTTGTTCCTCTGACTATCTTTAGTCTTTACCTTGAATACTTACAAACCTATTGTTCTTTGCCTTATGAAAAGTGGAAATAGTTAAAAGAGATCAACCATTTAGAAAGCAAGAAGTAAGACAAGTTAATAATTTCTAGTATCATAGAAAAGGAATCAAATACATAAAGATGCTTCCACATGCTCATGGCAAGGAAAATTACAGTATATATTGTAACCACAACAAGGTAGCTTAAGAAGCATACTTTGTAAAACCTTAAAGCTAGTAAAAACCAACTCCAAGTGCAATCGAAAAAAGTGATTGTCACCCAGAGATACTAATACACTGCATAGTTTATTAAAATTTAAAAAAAAAAACAAGGGGGAAGATTACAAGTAACTTCTGAAACAACTCCAAACAACAGATAAAGTCCATACAGTTCTTCTGCAGAGAACACAAACCACTCATTATATGTAAAAGAAGAGTGATAATTATTTTTAACCGCCAAGAAACAACGTTAAAAGGCGTTGTCTTGGATATCCCCTCTGGATGACATAATACATTGTACTCTGGTTGATCAATCCGGCACCGGGCAGACCCCTACATCACAATGACCATGTTGTCTTCCTGCGACCAAAGTTCTCCAAGTTCCCCCAAACTCCCATCTATGCTAACTTGCATACAAATTGGAGTATGGTTTTCAGACCCTGCAGTGAAAAGACAGAGTCTCTTTCCTTTCTTTTCTTTTCAGAAGGGTGTTGGATTTCTCAGTGAACTAGGCTGGTCAAAACCTTCAAATTGCATTTCCTCATTCCCATAATAGCCCATGTAGCCTGTGTGTCCAGAGAAAGGTGACATGTCGGCTACTTGATTCGCATTATCGGCCATTGTTACGTCCCCTGTGAAATTTGAGTATGAGGAATAAGGTGATTCTGTGTTTTCATATGACTGCCATGATGCCATTGCACTTTTGTACTGTGGAAAGTAATTAGGCATAGCTTCTTGTAACTGTGGGTAGTCCTGCAGTAAAGCCAAGGAAAAATGTTTGAGAAATTTATAAGAATATGAGCATTAGTCTTTCAAAATTTCGTCGTTTTCTTTTTCTTGCATTAATACCTTCGAAGAATCAAGAATAAAATCAGGCGAGACCCAGAAGTCTGCAGGGTTGGTCTCTCTTGAAGTTGGCTCAAACTCTGCTATTGGATTAACTTCATATGGAGAAGTAACATGGCTTGAATAATGACTCTCGTTATGCTGGTAACTCGCTTGAGAGGATAAATCATCAGAGATGTTCAAGGGCTCGTTTGAGATTCTTGTTGAGCTCAAATCCTCCCCACTGTTCGAAGCACTTCCAACCCTCTTGGCCTTGGGCTCTCCATGGGAATCATTTGTCTTCTGTGCATTCTCATTCTTTTTAATAACACGGCACAAAGCAAAAACTCCCTGCGGAGATTATCAAAATGCCAAATATAACTTCAGTTTTTTGAACTAATAGGTATCTAAAGCTCTCTAAAACGAAAATGGTAGTATTAAGCTACGGAACTGTCTAACAAACATAATAACATTGTAGATGTACCTGATGACCTGATGGCCCCTGAGCAAGATCATCACTGAGACGGTATTCATGCATGATCCAATCTGTTCTATCGCCTAAAGGAGCACGTCCACGATAGAAAACAAGGGTCTTGCGGTACCCAGTGACAGTGGATTGACAGACAACCTTCCGGTCTTTTCCAGTGGCCTTCCAGTAGCCAGCTTTAGTAGCTCTGTTTGTTCTTGAGCCATTTGGATACTTTCGATCACGTGCACAGAAGAAGAACCATTCCATGTCACATCTAGGAAGGAATGATTTTTCTGCAATAAAAACACAGGTATATATCAGATTGCCAGAATTACTGAAACCAATTAGAATTTGGAAAGGAAACAAGTTTCACTGTTCTTGTACTTTATTTAATTTGAATTGTTATAGAAGAATATCTAAAGCCAATTAGCTTGGCTTTTTGGAAATAAAGAAGCCCACATGCCCAATCAGAAAAGGGAGATGCTGGCAAGGCTTAGTTCATAAAGAAGAAGAAAAGAAGTTCAAATGAACAAAAAAGGAAAAAAAAACTATCTTTATGGCATCCTCTGTTCAGACTAGTAAGCAGATACACACTAACATACATATTCAATCTCTGAGAAAGCAAAACACCAGGTAAAAATGTAATGAAATTGTTTAAATGGTTACCTGGTAACTCCCAGGGATCAAATTTGTACAAATCGATCACAGGGATAACCTCCAGCTCAAATTCAAGCCCTTCCACTTTTCTTTTAAGATAATATCCCACTAGTTCCTCATCAGTTGGGTGGAACCTAAAACCTGGTGGTAGTGATGCTCCACCCATAACTCCACTCTCCTCCTAACTAATCCAAATTCTTAAAAGTATCCCAATTTGAAAGAAAAAAAATATATGAAAATTATAACAGCAGAGAGCTAGGAAGATAATGAGGAATGATATGAAACTTGTAGCTATGAGCCCAAACTGTACGTATTGAAGATCTGGAAAATCCAGAAATAAAAGCTTTTATCAAAAATTAATTTCTTATCAAGAACTGAGTAAAACTTCCACAGGTTGAACCCGTTGAAGAGCAGAATCATTGTCTTTGAAAATGTGCTTCTTATGATCGATTTGTCACCCCCCACCAACCCCCCTCACAGATTTTCTTTAAATTCCCAAAACAAGACGAGAAGGAACAAAATTGAAGGCTTTGAAGCAATACCCGGAAGCTGATATTGCTCAAATTTCACTATAAGAGTGTCAAATTCTTGTATTCAAACAGAAAATGCACAAGGACTTCAACTACAAAAACTAGTTAGAACTTCCAAAACTGGAACCTATCACAACACTTAAAACCATTCAAATTTTGCTAGAAATTGAAGAAAAAAAATTAATGTGGGGGCAGTGGCAGTTGGGAAAATGTGACCAATAAAGAGTTGTTGTTAGAACCAGGGCCAGTGTCGAGAAAACAAAATAGAAGAGGAGTAAGAAAGGTAGAGTAAAAGGAGTGGGAAATGGGGTGTGCTTATATATAGGTATTTGGGGGAACAAACAGTCCAAAAATGCACACAGACACCGAAAGTTTCAAAAGATTGCTTGTCTGACGCGTACACAAAATTCTAAATGGTACTGGCCCACGTCCACATAACTTGAACTCAGTTCACACACTGTAGTAACTCATTAAGATTATGTGTTTATCTCTCCCATCACGTAATAATCAGAAATATATGAGCAATTCTTAAGTACATAATTTATAATTGTTAAGGTCATAGGCTGTGTATTTCTCTCATTACGCGAGGAGATAGATAAACATATGATTATATACAACTTGAATTATTTTATGATACTAGAACACAGTTACAAAGTATAACCAGACTATATATTATAGTCAAGTAAAGTAACCCGACAACATGTTTTCTATTGTACCCCTCATCATATGGTACATGATTATGGGGCCTCATCGTTCTAATTCAATTTTGCACATTATGTTATGCAACTTATTTTTATCTTGCTCGAACCGCGGTTAAATTAGGTTATAGACATGTTAATTGGTGAGATAGTTTTCAATCCACATTTCTTGACATCGGTGAAATAAACTACTAAAAGATATATAGAATTAGAACGTGACAAATATTATCGCATTTCAACTTTTTCCTGTTAGGCATATAATCATTTGAATAAATTTTTAGTAGTGTTAGTTATTCATGGATATGTAGATGAATCTACAAGCACAAATGAATGTGAGGATGCCTAAAGCTAGAGAATTGAAAGTTCTTAAACTCAAAGCCAGCAGTGGTTTTGGGGAATTTGGGTTTCCATGTAGAGCTGCAGTAGTCACCAAGCTCCTTCCACATCATTCTGCGTCGGACAAAAGCACTTTTTCCTTGTGTTATTGAGGTGATGCTGTCATCTTCTATCTTGGCCCCCACACTGCCCAAAAGGAAAGTAACAAAAGTGCTTACTCAACTTTTTGGAATTAAGCAAACAGGACCTAGTGGGAAGATGAAGACTCTAGTTGAATCCACTTAATTCACAGTCTGGAGATGTAATGGTTACTTGATCAATGATCTGCGTAGCCTTTAAGTGGGACCAACTGACGCACTGTCTACATCTATTAGTGCTTTTACACTAGTAAAACCTATGGAATTAAATTCTTGCTTTTCTCTTTTGGTAAGTTCAATTTTTGCTTTAGGACCAGGCTAAGCTAAGGTGTGCTTAGCTTGTTGATACTCTTAAACAGTGCTTGATTTCAAGTCTATCAGAAACGCTGAATTTGATATTTTTCTTCTGTTTTTTTTTTGGATCATAGGCTGTGGATTGGATTGTAAGTTTTTTGGTGAGAGAACTATATATGGGTAGTTGAGAACATATGGAACCATATATGGGCATTTCACACTAGGAAAAGGACAAAAATAAAGATATCAAAATCTCTTTTGGCCAGAACAGTGATCAAATTTATAGTGTGCACTTTATTTTTTTTCACAGTTCGTACTTGGTCCTCTTTTGTCCAAAATTAAGGCATTTGGAAAAATGGTGCAGGGAGAGTTTTTGACATAAACAAACGGCAACGTAAAACATTCATTTAAGCATACGAATAGCTAGTGAGAAGTAAATTTAAGTTATATATGACAAGTTTCAATATTCATCTTTTTAATCATCCATTGGAATGACAAGGATGTATGATATATCTTATCTAGTTACACATCTCTCTAATAATAAGAATACGTTCTAATATATAACTTCTAATTTTATTCAATCATATCGAATGCACTTGACAGTTTGAAACCGATTATACTATTCCGTCTTCTTGACATTGGTTTGAGCAAATAATCCCATCGCACTATGGCTATTTCCACCGCAATGCATAGCAGCATACAAGGACGGAACTAGGAATTTTTTTAGGAGTGAATTAATTTTTTATATTATATATAATGAGATATCTATTATAAGCTTAGTTTTCTTTAATATATATATATATATATATATATATATATTATAAACAAAGCTGCCCTAGTGAAGTGGAACCCTACGCTCCTTGAGTGAATCAAAGTCATTGATTATTGAATTTGAATTAATATTTACACAAAGTTCTTTCTCAATATAGACAATAAGGGAGTCTGCAAGATACTCATCCTCCATCTTGTTGCGAAGTATAGTCTTAACATGTTTCATAGCTGAAAATGCTCGTTATGTAGTTGCTGTACAAAATGGAAGAATTAACACTAAATGAACCAACCTATCAATGAAATAATATGCCTTTGCTCTGTTTGCTTTATATAATACTTGACATAGTTCAGAAGGAGTAGACATATTTTGAAAGATATCAAGATCTTGTTGATGTACTTCAAATTCAAAAAGTTCTAGCTGACACCTCAACAAACGCAAGTCTTTAACAGTGAAATCAGCAAGATAAAATTTCTCTGCAAGCTTGCAAATATCATCAATCTTAAATGCTTTAAAATCATTGGTAGGGTCCAAAGTAGAACTAAGAATAAGAAGTTCCATTGTTCCTTCACTGAATCTACTATTTAACTCTTCCAATTGATAATCTATTGTATCATTGAATAAATCAACTTTGTAGCTCCATTGTAATATCATCACGTTGTTGACAAGAACGACGTGTACCAACTTTATAACAAGCATTCATATCTAGCATATCGATGTCATTTTTTTGCAAAATGATTCCACATTTTCTACAAAAATATCCCATCCATCCAATATAAATTCCTTAAGAATATCTTTTGTATTACGTACTAAATTCATAGTTGTATATTTTATCAATTCAACACGATTCATTGAGTCTATCAATTCATCATTACCTCTAAGAGCGGATGCTTGAAATGTAAGCCATCGAACATTCTCAATTGTTGCCTTGAGCCGTAATTGATATACGCCCTTTGAATCTCATCATGTTGATTAATGGGGTATTTAGAAATTGCAATGCGTTTGCCTGGATCCAGTTCTAAAGAAGTAGCATCAAATTCTTTAGGTCCAACTATTTGAGGTTTGAGATGCATAGGTTCTTCCCGAATTGAAGTATCATTACCCATTTTTTTGAAGAATGAATCAATTGTTTTTCCCCTTTTTGTTGGTCTATTATCATCAAAATGTGACATTATGTCCAAACAAGAATACTATAAAGCTAGAAGCAATGCAAATGCAATCCAACAGAAGCAATCCAAAACATATGCAATCCAACTGCAGCCATGGAACATAAAGCCAATATTTAACACTAATATTCAGTGTATCTACTATAAAGATTTATTGTACATAAAGCAAAAAATAAAATAAAATAATAAGGTTTATTGTACTTGAACCTGAGTCTATTGTAGCGTTGGTGGAGTTTCAAATCACCTTAATTTGTCAATACCGGTAGTAGAAATACATATAATATAAACCCAAATATTTAGAATAGCATTCTTTAGTAAATACACAGCATAAGCAAATAGATTGAAAACTACAATCAAGTTTACCTTGAGAGGAAATAAAGTAAAAACACCTATGATTCTTTATTGCCTCTTAATCAAAGTTCAAAGAGATATGAGATACTTTTTCATGGTTGAGAGAAAAGAAAACAGAGGACTATTTTGTTAGGCCAAACAAAAGCCAAAGAATAGGGTTTAAGGTTATTTGGTAAAATTTGAAAATAAAAAAAGGTAAGTAGGCAAAGAGAATGCAAGTGGGTGAAGATATACTATTAAATAACAATATGTATTTTTTTATTAGCTATATTATATTAGAGTCAACCCAAAAAAGGTTGGACTAATATTAAACAAAGGCAAGTTACAACATTTGGCCAAAAAGAATATAAAACAAAGGCAAGTGGGGTAGGCTAAAATTTTTAGGGAGTAGAAATAACTTATAAAATTTGGGCCTCCTTTAGTTTTCTACAGATTTTTGCACTAGACTACAACCCACTTAAGCATGTGAACAATACCGTCCTTGGCAGCATAGATCATACAAATAAGAATGTGAAGATGTTTTGTAGGATTGATATAAGCAGTTATATAGGAGCCAAAAATAGTACAAAGTAAAACTAATGAGTCTAGAACCAAGTAACTTTCTTGCTTTGGAGTTTAGGTCGCAAGACCTTAACCAAAGAGTGGACAAGGTATTCATGATCAAAATGAGGTTGAGAAAGTAAATGAGAAACTAAGGTGGTGTATTATTCACACTTGATGTTCATAACTATAAGGACGTAGGTATTTTGCGTTGGCGTGAGCCATAATTCAGGGATCCCATGATCTCTCACTTACTGGTGTAATTCACGTTACCTAATTAGAATAATTACCTAGTTAGGATTCCTTGGAATTAGCTAATTACTTTTCCTTGTAGGAAAAGTCAACTTGTACTCGTATATATATTCTCCTCTTGGAGAAATATAATATCAATCACAATTATTCAATTATGTGTTTATTTTAAGTTGGTATCAGAGCCGGTTAACCCCGGTCTCTCAAACAAAAATACAAATCCTACCCATCGGCATCCTCTAGCTCCGAATACAAAAAACAAAAAAACAAAAAAAAGCAGCCGCAAAACAGAGGCTAATCCCTTGTCGTCACAAACCTAGTGCGGCAAAAGACTCCTACAACACTAACCCATCCAAACTTGTTCTCTCCTCCATAGCTTTCGAAGATACCCCAGAAAACCCTACCGCAATCGCAAAATCCAGTGCTTCAGAAACCCCTCAAAAATCTTGACATGGTACAACCAATTTTTATAGTTTGCAATAATACTTCCGTTGGCCTATTCACCGTACAATTGAATGGAAAGAACTATAGAACTTAGTCAAAGATGATGTTGCTTTATGTGTCAGACCAGGAAAAAAAGGTTATCTGACATGGAAGGTGGCTCCAGCTGAGGAAAATGCTCTGAGCTTTGATTCATGGTATAT